ATACATTGCAATGTGAGTGACGGATTTAGGTATTTAAATCATCATTATAAAAGAATTAATTGCTTGAAAAATAAAATTAGATCAGGGTGTAAAGTGGCATTTTGAATTAAGGATTAATAGACTTAGTCGTTAGAAATTGAGATTTAGCTATTCAGACAAAGTTTTCAACTTTTTGTTTCGAAAATCTTCTCGCTTTACAATGTTTTTTGCGCTTTTTGTGAATTCCAAAAAAAAGGGCTTGGCCGCGATAGTCTCGCATACCTCGCATAAATAGCTTTTAAATTTTTGAAATCGATTCAGTCATTTTTGAGAAAACATTGAAAATGCCCTCAAACACTCTTTTCAAGTTACTATTTTATTGAAAAAGCCCTGTTAAAGCAATAAAATAATCATACGTGTGCCTATCCTATATTACTAATACCATAATTGTATAAATTGATAAATTGTAATTAGAAAAAAATAAAAATGTGTTTTACGTCTCCTCAAAACTATATATATTTAATAAGCGACGAATCATAAAGTATAGTTTACAAAATATTGTACAACTCAGAGTAAATAGAATATAATTTGAAACACAAATGTATTTATCTATATATTATAATTAAACACTTGTTTCATAGCAGTTTAATTATCCTTCCATAATAAGCAAAGTTATTAGGAAACATTGTAGTTGTTAAGAAGTAAATTTTCTATTTATATATACTGGTGTATATTATTATGAAGTGTAACAGTCCCGTGCAATAAATAGAAATATATAATGAATGAAATGAATTATTTACTCGCTTTAAATGAGTTCATGTTCAATTCTATTACGTTTGCATATTAAATAATTATTATTAAATTATCTTTCTTAATAGTTGATTACTTGCATAAAGAAAAAAAAAATTGGAGTCATAAACCATGCTCTTTATATCGAAATAATTATACAGAAACTCTCAGCAAGCTTTCCTTTCCTTATTAAGGAACAAAAATGGTCATTAATATCCAACTAGCAAATATTATCAACTTTTTCTTAAAGCTCGTTAATAACTCCATAGTGAATTTCTAGGTTCTAGTGTTAACGATCAAAAACTTCTGTAAATATGATCGCTATCGAGATATTCATAAAACGGCACTTTCCAACTTAACTTTTAGTAACGATTCACAAAACTTTTTATCGATGTTTGAAAAGTTATATTTCCGATTTAGTTAATGCCTCAATATTCTGTTTACGTAGAAAATCAGTATTGGGGGTTGCAGATGTTACGGGTTGTACTTTTCGTATATTGAAAATTGATTGAGGTATATTATAAGAATCGAATTCTAGTTTAAACGATGTATTTATTAAGCAAAATGCATAGTATGAAAATAATCATTATAATTATCAGCAGTTATGTAGGCAAAAAAATGCAAAAATGACGACGGAAAAATGTAGTTTCATTTATATTAAAATTTATTAATTAATGTTTATATCATTCCTCATAATAAATATTAATAACTGACATTGGAACAATAATAAATGGAAGAATATCCATGATTAAGTGTTAGTATACGCTTTTGTAGACCGCAAAATATTCAGAGGCATTCGGATTATTTCCGTTAGGGATGGCAGAGCACCCAACCCTTCTGGATACTCTCGTATCAGGGTAGTAAAACTACAATATTTGACCAGTTAAATGTGATTGATAAACCCTACGAAAACTTAAAAAAAAACAAATATATTCTGAAACGTCAATTTGTTTAGAATATTTTGATGCTTCGACTGTACAAAAAAGTAGTTGCAAGTGGCATATCACCTTAAGGCAAGTAGCATAAACTATCAGAAATGTGGAAATAATATACATCATCAATAAGAATTGAGATTTTGTATTGAAATATCATTTTCTACTGCATTTTGAGCATCGTTTTTGATCAAGAACTATTTTTGCTTTCTTACACTTTCATGCAAAAAATTTCAATTAATTTAATCCAATCTTAGTTTAATACATGTGCTTATGTAAACAAAAAAGTAAAATGTAGTAATAACATTTTTCAATTTTGTAAAATAAACCCATGTTTTTCACCCGATATCTTACCAGAACAACTTACTCTGTGATTGACGAATATACTCGTCATGAGCTCAATTCGGACGACAAAAATCGCCATTGTTCGATATGAGCGATATAGTAAACTGGTTAAAGAACTAATGACATTTGTCGAATAAATTCATTAAGAGATATATAAACAATGTAGCATAGGTTTGAATAGAAACCAAATTAATATCTGTGATAAGACTAAAGGCTTAACCCTGGTCTAATAAAATTATATAAATTTAATATAAAGAATATAATAAAACCTAATCCCTTCATTGTACTATTTCGTACTAAAAAATAACCATTTTAAATTGTATTAAATCCTATTCATAAACAGTCCCACAATCATTAATCCCTCTTTCTAAGAAATTATATTCCTTGAACACGGCCCAACTAAATAACGGGTCAATATCTGATTGGACAAGAATGTAATGGGAAGTCGCTTGCACCCAAAAATGAACTAATCAAAAAATAATATAAAATTACCCTTTTGTTTTTAGTTTTTTTTTATTATATTAGCTCTAGTAGATACGCCACTGGGGGTATCTACTAATTTGTAAATAACAAATTGTAAACAATTTGTCAGCATTCTCAGCTAAATGTAATTATATATATACAGATTGCAGAATAAAATAAAAATTAAAAAAAAAAAAATTACAAAACTTTGTAAATTAGTATCAACTGAAGCTTCAATTAAATAAGATCTGTGATGTCTCAAACCTTATCTAGTTAAGAAATAATATCTCAAACTTTGTATAAGTAACAAGTAATTACTCAACAATCAAATCAGTAATATATCAATTTATCTATCTTTAACATCGTATCATTTTATCTAAATATACAGCATTTTCAACTAAACATAATCTTTTAATGATCCGATGTAGCCACTAACTAATTATATCTGGTCCTTCGGCATTATAGACAAAAAGTGTACTATTTTAACAGAGTTCGGCAGCATCTTGTTGGATCACGAATTCTTTATAATCCAGTAATTTAAGCTTAAATCAGGTAAGAATCTGGATATTCAAGATACCCAGCTATAAGTCTGTAAATACTTGTATATTGACACCTAAATGTTGTCTCAAAACTACATATGGTAAGGTGTACGCAACATATGTAGGTTTTGAGACAACTTTTTGGTGTCAGTATACAAGTATTTACAGACATACAGCAGGGTCAATTAGCATCTCAACTGACTCAAAATTATATCTGCATATTAGAGAAATGGCTAAACAAATGGCACATACGATACGGATTAACGAATCAAAATCTGCGCACATAACATTCACGTTGTGTCAAAAAACTTGTCCTCCTGTATACTTAAACAACATCATGATCCCACAAGTACAAGTAGTAAAATATCTGGGGACTCCATCTAGATACAAGACTCACGTGGAAAGAACATATAAAAACGAAAAAGGAACAAATTCAAATAAAATTAAGGAGATTAACTGGTTACTTAGCAGACAGTCCAAACTATCCGTCGAAAACAAACTACTGCTATACAAGGCCATCATTAAGCCATATGGACCTATGGTCTAGAGCTATGGGGATGCGCCTCCAAATCTAATCTGGAAATTATGCAGAGAACACAAACCAAAATCTTAAGAGCCAACTCACCTGGTATGTCACTAACAAAAACTGTCTATGGCGACCTAAAAATGCTGACTGTGCACGAAACATATAAAGAACTATCATCTAAATACCGTAACAGATTGGAGATGCACCCAAATGAATCGATAAAGGATTTACTGCGGCCCTCAACAAAACTCGAAGAGATTGAAGAGAAAGTGGCCTCTACATAGTAATTAAGTACAATCATTAGTTATATATATAAATATAAGTAACATAATGTAAGATAGATCAGTGGATCCTATCTTATTTTAACACCCACATAGTTAGCAGTTTAGCTTATAGAAAAAGTATTTTTCTGATTGCTAAATAATCTATTACAAAAAAAAAATACAGCAGGGTATCTCAAATTCCGAGGTGAACTTACTACAATGACTGGACTATTATATAATTCACATTATAAACTATTCGAGTCATAAAAATCTGTTCAAGCAGCGAAGTATTAATTTGAACGTCAAACGTCTAAGGGCAAACATAAGTCACAAGAACTGTATCTATGATCAAATTTCATTAGTATGCGTGGACAAGAAACCAGCCGATTTTATAGATCATAAAACTAAAATCGTCTAAATTTTGTCGAGTTGCTAAACTCTGGTCCATATCATGGAACGACCGAAACCGATGTAAATAATTGAAGACTTACGTGTGAGCAGTTCCGGCCTTGCCCCGTGTCCAGCGGAGTCCTTTGTTCGGTGCTGATATGATTATCGTTTTGTGCAGAATGTAGCGTGGACACAGAATTCAGTCGATCTGTACCATGCTGCGTCGCCAATTTTACGGCGTTCTGGAAAAATGCATTCAATAGATATAAGATTATATTGTTAGATTGAGTTCGAAGTGATGTAAAACATTTTTATAGAGATAAAATTATACAGTGATAATAGTTAATAGTAAATGTTTAATCATTGATATAAATATAGTCAAAATTATGTTCTAAATAATTGCTTGAATAAATTTGAAGTGATTGTAAGTATTTTTAGTCAAATGAAATTATACAGAGTTAATAGTAAATTAATCATTGATATAGATAGTTGTATATAAATAAAAAAATATTATATTCAGTTCTGTAATTAAGTATAAAGTGATGTATATAAATAAACTAGCAAACCCGACGAACTCCGTTTCGCCACCAGATGGTTTCGTGAGAAAGATGAAGAAATTTTTTGTTTGTTTTATATTTGAAAAAAAATTTTGATTTTATTATACAACTGTAATGAATTTATTTCGATTACAAAAATGAAGTGTTTTTTGGTTGAACTTCTCTACGTAAATGAAAGTGAATCCGCAAATTATCCGTTTCATTGAAGTGCTCTTTGGTAAACCACATTTTTTGTTTTTTGGTGTGACGTTAACACAAACAAAGCGGATGGTTTTCCAACTCGTGAACAGGCAACGTATAACTACCCAAGTGAAAAACAATGATTTTCTAAATAATCTATTTGAAATTTATCCCGCAAACACTAAGCGATTGGCCTTGCGACTTGTTATTGCGAACGCAAGGCGAACTGGAAATTGTAATCGTTTGAAGTCAAACGGAAGACCAGTCAAAATCATTGGTATGTCACCAAATCGCCAGCAATTTTCGATTGAATGGTAAAATTCAGGGCGTGTGCATCATTATTCTTTGCGGCAGAATTGCTCGTTGACTTAAACCAAGCATAATTCTGATAATTCTCACTAATATCATTACTCGAATATTTAATTACGGTGCATGAAGTTACAGCAATTTGAATTAGGGCACGATGCCATGCATCACTAATTTTCTTAGCTATGAACCTTGCGGAGCCCGAGACCTTTCCAACGAATGCAAAATTGTCGAAATCGGTTCGTGCGTTCTGGAGTTATTTCGTCAGAAAGGAAAACCCGACTTATTTTTATATATATAGAAGATATAGTTGTATATAAATAAATTGTTATATTTAGTTGTGTGATTAAGTTAAAGGTGATATGAAATATTTTTATCTAAATGAAATTATTTATACAGTGTTATTGGTAAATGTTTAATCATTGATATAAAATTATAGATAGCGAGTCAAATAAAATTACATTACATTCAATTGTTAGATTAAGTTTAACACGTTGACTGCCCATAACGATATAACTACATGGATTGCGATATATTCTAGGAAGCTAAATACGTGTTATTTTGTAGAAATAATGTATTAATTTATTGATTGTGGTCAAGATTAGAAGAGATACTTTTATTATCAACCCTAGTTCGTTTGGGATAGGGATTAAGAATGTTTGTGTATATAAATACCTTGGTAATAGGTATTTAATTGAATTATTTACTCGCTTTAAATGAGTTCATGCTCAATTCTAATACGTTTGCATATTAAATAATTATTATTAAATTATCTTTCTTGATAATCGATTACTTGCATAAAGAAAGAAAAATTGGAGTCATAAATCATGCTCTTTATATAGAAATAATTATACAGAAACTCTCAGCAAGCTTTTCCTTTCCTTATTAAGGAACAAAAATGGCCATTAATATCCAACTAGTAAATATTATCAACTTTTTCTTAAAGCTCGTTAATAACACCATAGTGTATTTCCAGGTTCTAGAGTCAAATGAAATTATATTACATTCAATTGTTAGATTAAGTTTAACATGTTGACTGCCAGTAACGATATAACTACGTACATTGCGATATTTTCTAAGAAGCCAAATACGAGTTATTTTGTAGAAATAATATATTAATTTATTGATTGTGGTCAAGATTTGAACACACCTTTAAGATCAACCTTAGTTCTTTTGGGTTAGGGGTTAATAATGTTTGTGCATATAAATACCTGTGTAATAGTGTAATAGTTTATATATATATGATATGATATTATATATATATATATATAAGTTTTGAGAGTCTAGCAATATGAATGGAAGAAAGAGCTTGTGGTTCCAAGATCCAAAAGTTCCAAAATCGCAAGAAAATATTCTAAATTGTTTTTATTCATTTCTTAATGATGATGGGATAATTCTTACTTACAGTCCATAGATAATCTATAAATAATACACAGTCCATAAATAATCTAAATAACAAAGTGATCTTCACTAGATTTTTTTAAAGAAATTTTGTTCTTGTGCTATGCACTAGAAATAGAGTTTTTATTGATATACGAGTAAATAATCTAATCTTAGATAGATTAGATTCGAATTGTTATTTTTAATTTTGTGTAATTATATTTAAGTTTTGTGAAATATTATTATAAGTAAATGTTTAATATTTGATATAAAGAGAGTATAAATTGAAACAGTTTTAGAACAGAGAAGTTCATCGTCTAAGAGGATGTAAAAGTTAGGTGGAAAATGTTCATACACATTTTATACAAATAATTAAGCCAAAAATTCATAAAAAAATCACTCAATGAGTCCAAAATCGGAACTTATGGTATACTATTCAACCAAATTTTTACTGTTATATTGACATCGCTTACTTAGAGCTTTTAACAAGAGCTTTTTTCACTTTTTTTAGTCTGCATCCTATTATTTTTTAAGTTAATAGGAATAGGTGAGATAAGTTAGTAAATTACTATTATAATATTTCATTTTTTTTTAAATATTTTTTATGAATTTATTTTTATTCAGATTGGGGTGCAGATATTATAGAGAGAAAGAATTCAAATACGGGATATTGTTTCGATCTTTTTGGCTGTACATTCTATCAATTTTACATATTTTTATTATTTAAATTTTTACTCCATATTACGAATTTACTTCTATTTAATATAATCATTCAATTTTCATTATTACAATTCAGTTATGATATTTTCTTTGCACAGTGTTCGAAAAAATCATAAGTGCCTTTGGCTTGCTAGTCATGCCCGCCCCAAGTTATAATAAGTAGAGTTAAAATTAAGGTATTTATATCAAAGAATTGTAGTAAACATTATGGAATATATAGAAATTAGTTTATTTACATAATACTTCTTGAACAAGATAATGTTTACTGTTTTTTGATTATCAATAAAAATTATGTGCTACATTCAAGAAACTTTGAAATCAGTTCAACGGGGTACAGCTCTACTATTTTAAGAAACAATGATCTATATTGTAGAAAATTAATTAAACGAGTGTCACGCACAAAACACTATTTAATAATAATAACGTCAAATCAGTTTATGGCAGAACATAACAAAATATAACAGAATTACTATTAGACTATTACGTACATCAAACAACAACTAACTACTAAATAATTTACCATTAACTTTAATTAGTATTAAATTAATTAATGTGCCTCGTTAAACAAAGCGTATATACCTACTATCAGCATTTTCGAACCAATAAATCCCGTATAATTATTTGTCAATAGATGAAATCACGATTCGAAAGATTAAAAGATTAAAATTCATTATACGTGAATAACGCATGTCATGTTCAATAATATAACCCACAGTTGTCATTAAATCTATTTTATGAAAACACAAAGCTTTATGAGCCAAACATCAAAAAAGCACAAATACCGACAGAATCATTCGTTTTACGTAATTTATAAATGTAATTGAATGCCTAATACAATTAAAACAAGGAATGTAATAATTGATTTAATTACCAGTAGGGGAGACTGGGTACGGTGGTGCCAGGCTACGGTAGTGGCAGCCAAACTATACTGATTTTGAGATAGGGTCCAAAGGGAAAAAGATGAAGTACGTATGTTTGTTCGAACAAGTTTCCGTTATTGAATTGAATTAACATTAACATGATCTGCAGACCCAACTGCTTTTAAAGAGGCAAAATTAAGTTCTCTTGTCCGATTTTTTAAAATAATAACTATTTCTTGTATACGTGTTTGTCCTTTTTGGGAGAAATTTAAACAGATAAAGAAAAAAAAATGTAAGACAAAATACAAAAGAGAAAAGAAAATAAAAATTCAATACTAGTGGGGCGCATGGCATCGTGCCTTAAGGCATATTGCTGGAACTTCCCGTACTAAAAATTATTTTTTTTTAAAAAGATTAACATTTTTGAAAAAAAATTACTCTGAAAAATTAGATTTTTGAGAAACTATAAATTTTTGACAAAAATTAACTTTTTTTTGGAAAAAAGACTTTTTGAAGAAAAGTGTATTTTGAAATATTTTAGAAATTCTGAACTTTTTTTCAAAGCAATCGTACTGCTTTAACTGAACAGACACAAAATATCGAAGCGCGTAAGCGCCGCGCCGCCGTCTAATGGATAAGCATTGGTACGGAACCCATAGGAATGCAAACAAAATTTATACTTATTGTTAAAATCTCTATAAAATATCTGATAATTTGATGTGCATATGTCTAATGATCATTTTTGACCGCCAGATGGCATTTTTTTTACTTTTTTTTACTAGATCTCCGAAACCGCTAGACCTGCCTTCATGAAAATTTGATCAGTTCTTCATCTTGTTAATACAAGTAAAATGTTTTTTGAATTATTCAAATCGGACGCTCCGTTCTCTTAAAAACTGAGTTACTGTTTTTGGCACTTTTTGCCCCATATCTTCGGAACGGTTAGACCTGCCTTCGCCAAAAACTAATCAGCACGTCTCCTTATCAATACGAATCGAATGTTTTTTGAATTATTCAAATCGCTTCATCCGTGTTCCCGAAATTGTCGACGAAAATTTGTATCCGAACACACATACACACACACACATATACATCATTTTTTTCTAAGGTATGCCAAAATATTCAGAAACCTCTGAAACGTAAAGATATATGAAAATTTTCATTTTCAATTTTTTTGCGATTACTATAATTTACCGGAAGTTAACAAGAAAACAAAAGATTGCAAAGATTTCTTGTTTA